GAATTCTAGGTGAAGGACCCAGGGGCTCATCTTAGATTAAAGAGCACCACTTGCTCTCTGCCCTTAGATGGGAGCCATAGGGGTTCTGGCAAAGATTTTTATCCTGGAACCACCCAATTTCTCTGATTCTAGTAGTATCCTGAAGAATCTAGAAGCTGCTTTTGGAAACAGTAATTTCACTGCCCATACTGAGCAGGTGCCCATGCATTCACCAACCCAGCACTCATCTACCTGCCCACCTAACGCTCCATGCGCCCAGATGCTCACTCTCCCCCTTTCTCCCTGACCCTCGTTAATCCCACCCATGTCCTTTCATTGCTTGGTCCATCTGTCCATCCACCTGCACACTCACTGATGCATCCTGGTATCTGCGGGCAGGCCTTTTACGAGAAGCTGTTCATTGGGCACAGAGCTGAGTCACGTTGTTGTTTGGATTGTGTTGGCTTCCTCCGTTTTGGAGATGAAAACACCAGGTCATAAAAGGGGAACTTGTTTATCAGAAATAACCACCGAGGGTAGAAAGACCGGTGTTAAATCATCTCTTGCTGTGTGCCTCTTGGATTAGTTACTTGCCTTTCTGTGTCTTCATTCCTCCCAACATTAAACATATGCACATCAAGATGTCTGTGGGAATTAAAGAGAAAACATAAACACACTTCCTTTTTGGGAACAAAGTCTCAGGCAGCTCAGGCTGGCCTTGGACTTGGTAGGTAGCTGAGGATGACCTTATATTTCTGATCCTTCTGCCTCTACCTCTTAAGTGATGGGGCTGCATACCAGTGACACTGTGGCCTGTTTACGTGGTGCTGGGGATCAAACCCAGGGCTCCAAGCATGCCAGGTAAGCATTGTACCCGCTGAGCCCCCAGCCCAACTCAGAAACGGATTTTTGAGACAGGGTTTTTCTGTGTAACAGCCCTGGCTGTCCTGGAACTCACTCTAGACCAGGCTGACCTCAAACTCACAGAGATCCATCTGTTTCTGTCTCCCGAGTGCCTGGATTAAAGGCGTGCACCGCCACCACCGCTGGCCAGAGTGGATTCTTAACGAGCATGCTGTCCTGAGAGACAAACTGTTGTTGCAAGGAGGCCTGAGCTGTGCCCTGTCCATTTGCCTTCCAGCTGTGACCTCTGCTCTGCAAGATGTCCCATTGCCTCCTGTGCCCCAACAGTAGGGCAGCCTCTGTGGCTCCAGCCAGACTCCCATGGGCTGCCAGGAAGTTGTGCCCCAGCCAGGGTTGGTGAGTGTAGTTGAGCGGCACCTCCAGGCCAGGCCCATGCTGCCAGGACATAGCTTCCCTCTGCCCCCTGGGGCACCCCACCCACCAGCCTGGGCACAGGATGTGTGTGCCCTTCCAGGGGAAGAGAAACCAGATCCCGAGGCCTCTGAGCTCATCTCTCCCCGCCCATCAGCTGCCGCCCCTTTCCCACAGTGGGCAAACACAGGGCTTTATTTACATGGCAACCTGGGGTGGCCAGTGGTGACAGGTAAGTGGCTTATGTAATGGTGGTGTGGCTCTTGGCATCCTGGTTGTTCCAGGGGAAGGAGTCATGACGGAACTTGAGCCTGACAGCTCAACTCTGAGGTGACACTTGGTAGGACGTGCAAGTCCGGAAGCCTCAGGCAGCCGGGCACAGATTCTGCCTGCTGACAGCAGGTGGCCCCTCAGGAAGGACACACACTGTCACTCACAGCAGTGAGTGGCTACCTGGGAGCAGCTTGGAAGGAGCTCCAGGTGACACCAGGAGACTGTCTCTCTACCCCCACCCTCACTTTACAGGTGGTGCTTGCTGGGGGTCGCATGGAGAAATCCGCTCTGCCACTGTGGGTGTCCAGCACCGAGGCCCCGTTCCGAGCCTTCCTTCCCAGATTTCCCCGTTTTCCAAGTCTGATGGCCCTGGGTCCTGCTCCCTTCCCAGGAGCTCAAAGTGTCCCTGCAAGAGTATGTGTTCAGCCAAGCCTGCATGAAGTTGTGACACCTTCCCTGACCTAAGAGTCTCAAGGCTAATGGAGTTTGGGAGACTCAGAGCTCTGTGGAATCCGGCCCTCTGCCATAGGCCAGGAGGGACCCAAACTCCGCTGGGAGACCAAAGGGGAAAACACATGGGATGCCGTGCCACGCTCTGAACAAGGTCCCCACATTCAGTGTCTTTACTTCATAGGACAGGGCAAGAGGACGCGTCCTTGTCTTAACCACCTTGTAAGAGCCACAGCAATTGGGGTTCATCTCTGTTCAGTCCCTTTTCTAGCACCCACGGGGCACCGGGAAAGTGTAGCGAGTGAACCACAAGATAAACAGAATGGCGGGAGGGAGGAGGGAAAGAAGAGAAGGGCCAGGGAGGAGGAAGGAAGGAGGAAGGAAGGCAAGGGCTGGGGGGGGGGTGAGGGCTAGAGGGAAGGGGTGGGGGTAAGTGGCGGGGGTAGTGTCAGGTGCTCTCTATCCACCACCACCACCTCCCCACAGACACTGGAGCCAGCCCTGGGTCTCACCTCAGTTCTCCTGACAGTGACCGTGGGTGTTGGACCCATGGCTGCACCTCTCTGGATTTCGTTTTCATTTTATCATCTATAGTAGAGACACAGCTCTAGCACCCCACCCTGAATCCATCACAAAGATCCAACCAACCAATCACAGTGAAGGGCAATAGGACCTTGCAGAGGCCTCGGGGACTGGGAGACGACCCTTGCCAGGACAGCTCCTGTATGTCCTCCTACCCCAGAGACAGCTCCAGCTCCTTCCCAGCTGCTCCTGTCCTGGGCGTATGGGCATACCCTCTGCTGTCTCCCTTCGTCTA